AAAGACTTGGATTTCTTCCTAGCACAAGTTTGGAGCTATATGGAAGAATACGGGGAGGAATTTACCTCAGAAGCAGCCAAAGTGAGATGTGTTACCAGGGCTCTGGAGGGAATAGCTGCAGAGTGGATGGTGACTCTGTATAATGATAACTCCCCCAACTGCTGAATTATAACGTATTCATGACCGCGCTGCGGGCAAGATTTGAAAACCCACTGGCGGAGCGAAAGGCCAGGATCAGGAAGAAAACTATAAATCAAGGGAGGAGGTCAGTGGCCGATTATACCCAAGAGTTTAGACAACTGGCGTGCCATATCTGAGGCTGGTCCCAGGGAGCCCTGATAGAAGCATTTAAAGATGGTCTAAATGAAGACATATACCAGAGATGCATTGCCAGAAGGGACCCCAATGACTTGCAGATGTGGTACTTGCTGGCAGAAGAGGTGGAAATAGATTTGACCCGAAGCAGATGCCGGGGGGGGGGGGCTCTGGGTGGAGCAAGCCTTCCCCCCGTTTCCAAGAGGCCCCAAAGGGAGGAGTGACGGCAAGACCCAAAACCACTGCCTGTTTCCGATGTGGGAAAGAAGGTAACCGGGCTGCGGACTGCAGGGTTGACCCTGGATCCAAAGGGGGTTCCAAAAGGAGGGAGGAAACCTGAAAACCCCCCAGCGAGGCCTCGCGAAACCACGCTAAAGGCGAGGGAGGTTGTAGAGGTCGCCCCTCCGGAAGGAGAGGAGCTGGGACCTCCGACCTCCTCTGAGGAGTGAATATGACTCGGAAGACGACTTCCTGGTAAGTCCAAACAAGGGCCCCATGACCATTCCAGTAAAATTGAGGGTACCCACTTCAGGGACCGAAGGGGAGATGCTAGCCTTACTAGACTCTAGGTGCACGAGGTGTGTAATAAAGACCATAAAGAGACTCTGTGTTTTATTGTGGCCCCTGGGATGGAGCAACCGTTAATACTGGGATTACCATGTCTCCGGAAGTGGAACCCCCACGTGAACTGGAGGAAGGGGTCGTTGCGCATACGCACCAATCAGCGACCGGAAAGGGAGGGCCGATCTCAGCGAAAACTTCAGAATCCGGTTGAGTTAGCCTCCGCAGGTACCAAGAACTTGGAGGGGGAGGAGAAAATTCCGAAGGAATATTGGGATTTAAAGGAAGTGTTCAGTGAAAAGGCCTCAGATGATTTCATCCAACCCACCAGACCCCAGGTAGCGGTCCCAGTGCTGTTCCGTGAAAAGAAAGATGGCTCCAAGCGCCTGGTAGTTGATTATAGAAACCTGAACACAATTTCCGTGGAAAACGTGTAACCCCCTCCCCTGATGAAGGACATGCTGGACCACCTGGCTAAGGGGAAAATTTTCACGAAGCTGGACTTGAGAGAAGCGTATTACCGAATTCGAATTAAGGAAGGGGATGAGTGGAAAACCGCTTTTAACTGCCCGATGGGTTGTTTCCAATTCAACATTCTCCCATTTGGCCTACAGGGGGCTCCAGCCGTATTCATGCAGATGATCAATCAGGTATTACATGAACATTTATACAAGGGGTTTTTGGTTTACCTTGATGACATCCTTATCTACACGGAAACTTGGGATGAACATGTGAAATTAGTGCGGTCAGTTCTACAGAAACTGCGAGCCGCTAAGTTGTCTGCTAAACCGTCCAAATGTGAGTTCCATCAAGAGAACATACTATTTGGGGTATCGCATTTCACACGAGGGCATTGAAATGGATCCAGGGAAGGTGCGGGCCGTGTTGGAATGGGCCCCCCCACGCACCCGAAAACAACTTCAGAGCTTCTTGGGATTCGCCAACTTTTACCGGCAGTTTATCCCGGCTTTTGCTAAGATAGCAATGCCTATCACCAATCTCTTAAAAACTAAGGGGGAGGCGAAGCCAAGGCCTAGCAAGCCGCTGGAGTGGTCCATGGAGTGGTCCATGGAGTGCCAAGCCGCCTTTGAAAAGCTGAAACGACTGTTCGCTGCAGAACCAGTGCTAAGGCACCTGGACATGGGTGCTCCTTTCGTGATCCAAGCCGATGCGAGTGATCTGGCCATTGGAGCAGTATTACTTCAAATCAACGAGAAGGGAACTTTACAACCCTGTGCCTACACCTCCTGTAAACTAACTGAAACCGAAAGAAGGTGGGCCGTCTGGGAAAAAGAAGCTTTTGCAGTTCGCTGGGCTCTATTGACTTGGAGACATTTCTTGGAAGGAGCAAAACACCCGTTTGAGGTATGGACCGACCATAAGAATTTGGAGGCCTTAAAAACGCCTCGGAAGCTGTCCCCTAAACAAGTTCGCTGGGCCCAGTACTTTAAGCGTTTTAACTTCTCATTGAAGTACATTCCAGGGTGGAAGAATTTCATGGCGGATGCTTTATCTAGACTGCCTCAATATAACAGTGTTCGCCAGGAGGTGATACAGCTGATCGTCTCAACCAGACAGCTAGCCGCTCCAGTGGTCACTAGAGCTCAAAAGAAGAAACAAGAAGTGGATATATCGAATGATTTGATGGCACAATTGAAAGAAGCCCTAAAACTTGATGATTGGTTCCTGACTCATTCGAATAACTGTACAGTTAGAGATGGTTTGGCCTGGATGGGAACAAAGTTGTATGTACCAGAGACACTGAGAAGCCAAATATTACAACAAGCTCATGACTCTAAATTGGCTGGCCATTTTGGATTCGTGAAAACCTTACACCTCATTAAGCGACAATTCTGGTGGCCTACGTTGAAGAAAGACATTGAAACTTATGTGGCTAGCTGCTCAATTTGCGCATCAGCAAAGAGGCCTCCTGGTAAGTCAGCAGGACTGTTACAAAATGTGGCTAGACCAACGGCTCCGTGGAAGGAAATCTCTATGGACTTTATAGTAGAGTTACCCGAGAGCACCAGAAACACGGTTATTTGGGTGGTAACCGATTTGTTTTCCAAACAAGCACACTTCATACCTTGCTCTAAGATTCCCTCTGCAAAATCGTTGGCTAAACTGTTTATACTACATATCTATAGACTGCATGGCGTTCCCAAACGTATAATTTCTGACCGAGGGGTTCAATTTACCTCGAACTTTTGGAGGGAGTTCCTGAAGTTAATAGGCTCTGCCCAGGGCTTAAGCTCTGCCCACCATCCCCAAACCAATGGGGCTTGTGAGAGAACTAACGCAGTGCTAGAACAATACCTTAGATGTTACATAAATTATCAACAGGATAATTGGGCTGACTTATTGCCATTTGCCGAAGTGGCATACAACAATTCTGTACATAGTAGTACTGGATTCACCCCATTTAAAGTGGCGTCAGGGCAAGATTTTTTACCCATACCTGAGCTTCCTCGTGAAAGACCTAACATCCAGTCATTAGACGAATGGATATCTCAACTCCAACTTAATTGGCCAGTTGCTCGTAAAGCATTAGATGATGCACATCAATCTCATAAGAAGTTTGCAGACAAAAAGACAACTCCACAGAAACCTTATCAAGTGGGTGACAAAGTGTTCTTGTCCACCAGATACCTACAAACCACTCAAAAGTTGAAGAAACTTGGTCCTAAATATGTGGGTCCTTTCACGATTGAACGGATCGTAAATCCTGTTACAGTCCAATTGGAACTACCGAAAACTGTTCGACGAATCCATCCGGTTTTCCATGTTAGCTTGTTAAAACCTGAACACACTTCTGGTTTAAGACCGACCCAGACTGATCCTCCTATACCATTGCTGATTGAAGGTGAACAACATTTTGAAGTTAAAGAAATTCTGGACTCTCGTAAATGGAGGGGTTGGCTCCAATATCTCATAGCTTGGAAACACTTCCCTTCTTCCCAAGCTGAGTGGGTCAATGAAAAGGATGTTAGAGCCCCTAAGCTGATCAAGACTTTCGCACAAAGTATCCTGATAAGCCCTAGAAATGTACCTAATTATTAATTAGTATCTTTTATGTTTCTTTTTCTCTTGCAGGACTAACGTCTTTTTTCTAGGAGGGCCGAAGATCTTCTACTATTGCTTTGCATCTTTTGGCTGCCATAAGTAACGGGGGGAGGAGGGGGTAAGTCTGGGAAGAGAGCTGGAGGTGTTACATTCTAGTGTTGTGTAAATGAGGTGGGGGGGGGGAGTATAAATTTCTGTTTAGGTTTCTATTTCTTGCTTTGCTTTCTTTTCTCTGCGCAGCTGCAAATCTTTATCAAAATATGCCAAGGTCAACGGACAGAGGCCTCATCACCACCTGAAGATGTCCACATGATCATATTCACAACTTTTAATTGGAAGAATCATTTGAACTATTGGGGGTGGGAACATTTCCATCACTTTGTATATGTGATCTGCGCGCCTAATTTCTCAGATTCAGAATTCCACTTCATTTTCAGTAAAAGATATCTTTTCTCTAATTAAGGAGTCTAAGTATTTCTTTCTTGAATTTTGAATGGAGCACCACCTGACAATTGGTTTGCATTTTAATAAATTTTCAAGAGATGTTTTTCAATATTAAAGTAAAAAACATTTTGTCAGGCTACAGAACTTTTTCCCATTCAATTAACAAGAATGAACTTCTGAACAAAAATGTATCAAAAGGAATCCTTTATTGAGATGAGACAATTCATGTAGGAGTTCAAAGCAGCATCTGAGGTCCCTCAAGCATACAGGGATAGATAAGGGAGTTTAGAAACCCTTCCCCTTATCTCAATGTGCATTTCGTGAAACAAAAGCCAATATGTTAATTCCCCTCCCCCACCCCTTCTGTAGAAACTATCTTTTTCAGTTTCCCAGGGCATACCTAATTTTCCCCCACCCCCCTTTTAGAACGAACTTTTCCAGAGATTCCCAGGACACATCTCACTGTGGAATTTTTATGATCTTCTCATCTCCTGGCTATGCCTCTCAGAGGTGATAGGTTCCGGCCATCTGGCTTTTCCCCCTCCATTGTATCATGTGTGGGTTATACAAATTCGATATAAGATTAAATATATTCAGGTTACATCAAGAAAGAATTTCTTTATCAGTTTCCCCCCGTTTTCTTCCTCCACTGAAGAAATGACAGATACACAGATCTGACACATTTATATTATTGAATATAGCACCAACTCCAATTTCAGTGTTCCACTAACATATAGAAAGCATTGCCACTTTTGGTGCCACTCTGGTGGACACTCTTGCCATTTTAATATTTTTTTTCACATCTGGGTGGACTGCATTCCCAATTTCCAGTTCCATGAAATAAGTGAACTAAAGGTTCCACTAATAAGACAATCTTAACACATACTGCAGGATTCAGTTGCAATTCACGGGCTCATTTTATTTAGCACAGTAAACTAATACTCTTAGTCAAAATTTAATTTGTCTCCTGAAGCTCTGTTTTATTGTATCCCTATGTATCCCTATGTATCTTACTACTTGGAAGCAGAAATATAGATTCAATCCAACAGAAGCTCATTTAGCAGATGGCACGGCAGTCAACCCAATACCCAAGCAGTTTTCTAATAAAGAGTTTGATTCATCAGGTTTAAAGCTTCAGAGCCAATTTCTTCATTTGACCCCTAAAATTCTAGCCATTCCATCATGTAAATACAGTTTGCAGGAGATACTTCTCCACCTTCGTGGCAATCATCAAAAACCTAGGAAGGGAATAAGATAGAAATACGATATATAATTTGATCAATCAAATTGTGTCAAACCAATATTTTCAAACAATTCTGTGAACAATTTATATATAAGTAACCTTATTTCTAAACTCTGTAAGTGTAGAGTGGTGCTAGCTGCTGCTCAGAGAAGAATCTATGAGTCCACAAAGACACTCAAATTACACAGAAGAACAGAATTGGAAAGGATTTGGAAGTCTTTGTGTCCAAGCAGGAAACCTTGTAATGGATGTTGGCAACTCGCAGCTCTGGAGCAGCATGCGGCTCTTTGGGCCCTCTGCTGCGGCTCCCTGTCCCATCACTGGCTGGCCCTGTCTCTCTCCTGGCCTGAGAAGGTAAGGGCAACGGCAGGGGATGGAGAATGGCCGGGGCTGATTCTCCGGCGCCTCACTTTTGCTGCTTGTTGGTGCTAGGTGTGCCTTCCGGTCCTTGTTGGTGCTGGGCATGCCTTGCAACCAATGCTGGCCTTGCTAACATGAGGGTTAACAGGGTGGGAATGGGATCTGGGAGGCAGGCATGACGGAAAGGGGGATGGGCCCACAGTGCCCAGCACTCAGGGTAGCAGGAAAAGGGGGATGACCCTGCCAAACCTCGGACTCCCACCCCGGTGGTCAGGCTTGGAGAAAGCCAGAGTGCCCTTGCCCAACAGCCAGTTCCCCCCCCCATGTCTCTCTCTCTGTATGTGTGTATCTCTCTTGCGCTGTCTCTGCGTCTCTTGTCTCTCTCTCTCTTGGAAAGCCACGGCTGGGACAAGCCAGCAAGCTCTCTTTGGGGCTCTTGGCTAGTCCTTTTATTTTTTCTTTCTGGAAATGTGGGCTGGCTGAGAAACGATCGCCAGCCAGGGCAGAGGCTTCCCTTCAGGAAACCCTCCTCCTCTCCCTCCTTCTCTTCTCATGACCAGGGGCTGTGGCGGGGCCAGAAGGGTGCGCACGTATGGGGAGACCCTCCTTAAATGAGCGCCAAAGCGCAGCAAAGGCACGCGTGGGGTGGTCAGCTGCTCACTTAATGAGGGTCTGAACAGGACACAGCTTCTCTCCTGCACTAAGGCTCCGGCCATCGCCTTGCCATGTTGTCATTTCCAGCAGCTCTTTGGCCAAGCATGGAGGGCGCGAGCTCCAGCCTAAAGTAGCAGGAAGCTAAGGCTGCATTACGTGCAAATGTGATGCTAAGGCAGTACAGGGCCACTTTGCTCTTGCAGTAAGGCTTTGGTGACCCTCCTCCCCCTCAGGACCCCCTGGCCTGCTGTGGCGGGGCCAGGAGGATGCACACGCATGGGGAGACCCTCCTCAAGCAAGCGCCAAGTGCAGCAAAGGCATGTGCGGGGCAGTTGGCTGCTTGCTTAAAAAGGGTCTCCTTCCTGGCCCGCCACAGCCAGCCAGGGGGTAGTGAGAGAAGTGGGTGGGAGAGGAGGATCACCCAATAAAATAAAAGGAATAGCCAAGAGCCCCAAAGAGCTTGCTGGCTTGGCCCAGCTGTGACTTTGAGAGAGAGAGAGAAAGAGAGACACAGAGAGAGGGAGGAGAGAGGGAGAGACATAGACACACAGAGTGATACACAAAAAGGGGAAGAGAGAGGGGAAGATAGGGAGAGGGGGAGAGAAAGACATACAGAGAAAGATACAGGAAGAGGGTGGAGAGATACAGAGAGAGGAAGATAGGGAAAGGGACAGAGAGAGACACACAGAGAGAGATACAGAAAGAGGGGAAAGAGAGATACAGAGAGGGGAAGAGAGGGAGAGGGGGAGAGAGATACAGAGAGAGAGCAAGGAAGATAAGGAGAGGAGAGAGAAGGGGAGAGAGGGGAAGAGACATAGAAAGAGAGGGGGGAGAGGGGCAGAGAGATATAGAGACAGAGAGAGAGAGAGAGAAAGATTTTGTGGCTGAGTAGGTGTGGCTAGGGGAGGTCATGTGACTGGGTGGGAATGAGTGACATCAAGTTGGCCACGCCCACCCAGGTTTTGTGGCTCCCAGTGTTTTTTTTCCGGGTCCAAATGGCTCTTTGAGTGTTTAAGGTTGCAGACCCCTTCCCTATATCATTTCAGATAAATGATTGAGCCCCCACAACTCCTGAAGGCAAGCCACTCAACTGTCAGGAAATTTCTTATTTCTAGGATGGATCTCTTCTTGATTAGTTTACACCCGTTGCTTCTTGTCTTATGTTCAAGTGCTTTGGAGAATAAATTGACCCTGTCTTCTTTGTGGCAGCTCCTTAGATATTGAAAGATTGCTATCAAGTTACCCCAGTCCTTTTAATTAGACTAGACATACTCAGTTCCTGCAACTGTTCTTCATATGTTTTTAGCTTCCAGGCTTCTAACTGCATAGCGCTCATGCTGGAAGCACCAAGGCCAAGGCACTTCCAGATTGAAAGGATTAATTGGTGACATCACTATTACTTGGGAGACACCAGTTGGGGGTTCCTTTCATGTCCCAAGCAGGACCTGGAACAAGAGAAGGGAGGTCACCCCACCTCACAGCAGCACTCAGGTTTTGAACGCAGGCTTGCTACTTGTCAAGCCAGCGTCCTAACCATGCGAGCTACAATACACTTAGTCCCTAATCATATGTTGATTGGTTGTGGTCTACTTTATCAAAAGCCTTAGTGAAGTCCAAGCAAATTATGCCAATGGCATTTAGCTGGTCCATTAACTTTGTCACTTTGTCAAAGAATGCAATAAGGATTGCTCGTAATGACTGGGTTCTGACAAACCCATGTTGGCTTCTGGATATAAGTGCTTGCTTCTAGGTGTTTGCAGATATGTTACTTGATTAGCTTGATTTGTCTTTTCCAGGATCTTACCAGGTATTATGAAGCACAAAAAAGTACAACTTCATCCAGAAACATCTCCCTCAACATTAGTTGACAGAATCCTAGAATAATCTGATTAATTTTATTAATCAATTAGACAATTGGAGACCAACAGCTGTTAGTATAATCCTAAACTGCAATATTCAAATGCCATATTTTAAAATGGGCTTTGAAAGAGAACTTAGTGCAATAGAATAATGCAACAATAATCACAGTCTTAACTAGAAATCTAAAAGTTTTATTTGGAAGTAACTGAAGTCCATCAATAATACATTAATCTGGAGGCTAGAATTGAATATACCTGCCTAATGAAATGTCCTTAGGGATGTCCTAAGCCAAATAAATCCTGTACCTTGAATGACATAGTGAAATCAAAGAGGCCTTGGGATCTTTGCAACTACACAGATTTTCTTTCAGGAAGAGGGAAGCCCCACAGAGAAACATATATACATTTGTTGCTGAACTCAAATTTCCAAGTGCAATTACTTTTGCAGACAGCCAGTTTGATCTAATGGTTAAGGTATCAAGCCTGAAAGCAGGACATTGTAAATTTAAGTCCTGCCTTAGCCTTGAAAGTCAGTTGGGCTTTTTCTCAGCCCAACCCACCTCAAGGATTATTGTGGGGAGGAAAGTGTGTCGTATACATTCACCACCTTGAATTATTTATAAAAATAATAAACGTGGGGTACAAATAATTAACAAAAAGATTGCCTTATGTTACAGACCATTTTAATTAACAGTAATTCAATTAAGTTTGATATACTGACAACCTTTTATGAACAGTAATTTGTGGGCCAAAGAATATGTATAATAGATGCATTTCATATTCTGGTTGTTAGGAAGAAGCTTCAAGGACAAATGTCAATGGTAGCTGAGAAAGGTTTTCATGCATATTGATAAATCTGGTTTTTGTCTACTATTCTTTCTTGGAGGATTAATTTGCAATTATCTTTCAGGCAATTAGTTAAACTACTTTCTGGATTAGTTACCAGAAATATATTTCAAATACAACATTTACATGTTTTAACAGTTTAACCATTTTGTTTCTGAATATAATTTAAAGGGCTAATGTAATTTAAAGGGCTAATGTCAGTCAGTCTGTCTTTCTCTTTCTTTCTTCCTTCCTTCCTTCCTTTCTTCCTTCCTTCCTTCCTTCCTTCCTTCCTTCCTTCCTTCCTTCCTT